CCTATATAATATAAGCAAGATTTACCTTGTCATGTTATAAGAATAGATCATCAAAAAAAGGTGTATATATATAACAATATAAATGTTTATAATAATTAGCACCATTAAATTTGAGATGAGGAAACGGAGCAAAGTCGTGAATACCGCCCAAGGACTTTAAGTAAAAAGGTTCATTTCCTGTCCTTGCTATTATGAGCTGTAGGACAATAGAGGTAGAAGTTAGAATGCTTGTTATATCAACAATGCAAGTGTTTACTCTGAGAGAGAAGGCTTTAGATGCCAATTTTGCAAAACTGATATGATTAACATTATCTGACTGGACACTGAATTTTCAGTTATACACCCAGTAAGATGAACTGGTCGAAAACAAAGCCCAAAACTGAACCATAAACCTCCTGGCATGGAGACTCTCGGAGCTCTAAAATACCATATCTTGTGAAAGGAAACAATCAGACAGCATAAACTACTATTTTTTTAATTCTTAAATTGCATATAAAATAGCTGCAAGGATATATGGATATAAAAAGTAAATAACAAAAGGTCATAAAGACAAAAATTTGAGATGGTTATTTGATTCCTGTTTTAGAGACACCTTTTGAGGCATATCTTTAAGATAATTACACTTGTTTCTATAATACAAAATCCTGAAAAAACTTCAAGTACATACTTTTACATACATGGCTTTTATAATCCCCTATCATGGCTCCCATATCTTAAAGAGAAAAAAAACAGTCCTGGCACAACATTAATTGTGAATATATGAGATTATAAATACAAAGTATTATCTGTATATACCATTTATAAAAGAAATGTAAATCATAAATCTTTCAAGTTACTGTAAAATAACAAAATATACAATGTAAGCTGCCAAAGTATACCTTAAATTGAATGAAAAGTGACTAGAACATATACAAAGAAGCTTTGCAATTAATTACTATTGTTACTCCTTCAACCATTACTCCTGTACATTTCATTTTACTTTGATGGATTTCTATAATGTCTGAACTATACAAGACAGATAATGAAGGCAAATTTAATTTCTCAGACTCAGCAAGTTTAATAAAATATAGGTCACTAAGTACTTCAAAACCAATAGCACCACTCTGTACTAATGAAAATCCTACTTTTGCAACTGACAAACTAAGCCCCGCCTATTAACCTTCATTCATTGCAAATATTTTTTTTCTGGTTTATTTTCCAATTACCTTTACCAATGTCATTGTTATTGAACAATACTGCACACACTAAGGGGCTAAGCTAATAACAATGAATTTAGCCAATGAGGGTGCACTGTAACATATTACATATACCTAGATATAAACTATTTGTCTGATTTATTCAATATTGTTATAATTACCAGAAGTAAACAAAAGATCCACTCCTTCAAGTATGATAAAGTTTTCCATAGCATAAACAGCCATCAGAATACTCCGTGGAAAAAAGTAAATTTCATTTTTGGTTTCAAAAGGCTAAATGGAGTAGTGCTACCTGCCTTATATGTACCTTTGATGAGAACAAAAACAATAAAGTTCCCATAAGCTATGAACATGTAAGAAATAAATCAGAGTTAACAAAAGCTCCAGCCAAGGCCAGCTCGAATGGAATGCTGTTTGAGTACTGCAAAATAATTCATCTGTTTAGGTAAACAAAAAAAATAATAATCAATTTGTAATGACAATAAAAAAGAGATAAAAAAATGCAGTCAAGTAAAAACAAAGATGCAATTTGTAATAAAAGCCTTGCATTATCCATGTGTTAATTTGCACCAGTAATTATAATAATACCCATTGGCATTTCAGCAAACACTATAAAAATGAAACGTGAAAATATAACAATACATACTATTTCAATCACATGAAAATTATAAATTTATAAATGGAAATCCAAAATGTAATGTAAGGAATACATTAGATAGTAATTTTAATCATAATTATTATTATTCATATGCCACTTACTGTCTGATATAGGCTAAAACTAATAGTAATAATAACAGTAATAATGATGATAATAATAATAAGTTATATGAAATGTTAAATCCCATAATTCTAATGACAAAATGTTCATATAATCAAAAGTTTGATTCCATACTACATGCAGGAATCAACACATTTATGGTTTCTGTCTGTTATTTAAATCCGTGAGTCAAGGTGTATAGATGCCTGAATACAGGTTCAAGCATAACAATGAATTATACAAATTATTCTGTCATAAAATTTCTCTTTGTGTCAAATTCTGAGCTGAAAGAGAATAAAGGTCAATATCAATCCTCTTCAGTGGCATCTACAGATGAAGCAAGATGCCATTCATGGTGTTCACCGTTTACATACACCCACAGGGTGAAATGTGTAGATGCCTTGCATGCAGGATCAAAACCTCCCATGGATTATATAAAGTATCTCCAGCAGGCTAAATTACAATTACTCTTTTCCATTCTCATAAAATCTGGTCACTATAATACAAATATACTACTAAAGCTGCTCACACACGAGGATGAATTCATATAAATGAATACCTATCCACATCAGTATTCACTTCTTGAGACTTTATTTAAAGAGTAATATTTGAAAAAAAGAATAATCTAAAACAAATAAACAGTTACTATATATAAAATAATATACTTTACCAAAAAATCTAAAAACATTATGGCACATTCAATAAGGAACTATGGAAGCACACAGCAAATAAAATAATTACTAATAATTTCTACATACAAGTAATCAAAACAAAACAATTTTTCTACATTATTGCACAATGTATGGCATTATGGTGTTTTATATTTATAATAATGATATTGATAATTTTTTTTTTACTAAATCTAAAAAAAAAAAAAACAAGTGAAGGAGTATGTCGCCATTCCTGTAAAGTCCAAATACATGCCTCCATCTGTTTCAGAGCTGTATGTACTTACATGGTGACACAATTATCAGCACTTTTTTATTTATAGAACTCATAACAGAGATTTAAATTACACAATACAACTAGAAACTCAGATTAGCCAATGCTACCAGGATGCCATGTCCACTATGTTTTTAGTTTACTAGTTTACTAATCATGTTTACACAGAGATGATTCCACAAGAGCTAAGTCACAAAGAAGTCAATTAAAAGTCCTACTATTGCACCTGGTTTCTCTTTCCCTTGATGTTCAGAAGAATTTTATTTTATCTTTTATTGCTAGTATCATTTTACTGACATTATATTAATCATAATGTTGACAGTAATAATAATAACAGTATATATATTTAAGGGATGGGAAAATCAGGTGAGGTTATATAGTGCCTACTCCTTGGTTACTGAGCACTTGTGAAGTCACCTATGTGTAAACAAAATTCATAAAACAAAAATACAGTGGATATAACTATTCAGCAGCAAAGAGTTGATTATATTAGTGATTACTTTCCAAAGGATATTATAGTTGCATTATAGTAAAAAAAAAAAAAAAAAACTGCGTGTTACGGAATGATGCAATTAACAATGGTCCCTTAAAAGCCCTTGTCTTGAATTTCATTTTACCAAACATTTATATAACAACTTGCAAATATCAGAAAGTTAACTAAAATCAAATCAGAAGAAAAATGAAATTGGAAGACTGGGTACAATAAAAAAAATCTAATTTCTTCAAACAGTTGCATATACCTAAATACCATTTAACTTTACTGGCTTTTAAGCACTACACAACAGATGAATCAGTTACATGCAAGACACAATTAGTGAATAGGACTAAACTGTGTTCTTTGTTTACACATGAGAGATTTGGTCTGACATTATGGGAAATTGCAATGAGAGGTTCTACTAAAAGTACTGTAATCACCTGTAGTGGTTGGGGTCCACATGTGCATATTCATCAAACAGTCAGATAATGCTCACAGTAGCAAATGGCAACAGGAACAACTGTATAGTAAAGATTAAACACCTGCTAAGCCTTCTGCACAAATATTCAACTCAACCCTTTGGAAAGGCATTATCATTTTATTCATAAATTGCACTGGATTTCCATAGCAATCTTTAAGATTCACACTAGGTACCTACAGTACATGGAAAAAGTCTGAGGAAATCTTGAGCTTTCTAATGAGTGGTTGGATATCCATTTACTTTCCACATTTATTAGCCAGCCATATGCTCACATCTTCAAATACAATGATGGTGCATGAGATATCATAGAGCAGACATTTAATATCAGCCTTTTTCACTCTCATGCCTCTGTTACTGTTTTCTGCCCAAACCAAAGAATAGTTACAAGTATCTTACCCAGCAAGCAAAATCATTTCTTTGCCTGATGGAGGATAAATATTGATGAAGGATATTTGCGACTATGCAACAAAGAGCAAACCAGTAATTTTGAGCATACTTTCAAATCAGACTAAGCCTCAGATTAAGCTCCACTTATAATCTAAAAGAAAAGCATTCAGAAATCCACACAAAATAACCAAATGGTGATGGGAAATCACAATGTCTGCTGTTGTTTTCTTTTGTGAATTTTGTTTGCACACATATGGCTCTACAAGTGCTCAGCCACCAAGGAGCCAATTAGCAAGCCTATTTATTTTTAACTAAACTCTCCTTTCCTTGAGTTTTCAGGATAAATATTTTTATTTTAATGCAATCAATTTCAATGTTGACATAATGATTTCTATAATGTTATCAATAATGCTAATAGCAATAAAAAATATATTTTTTAATGAAAATCAAGGAAAAGGGTAAAAAGGTGATTAGGGTAGAATTAGTGACCAACTGCTTGGTGATTAAGCACTTTTGGAGCCATCCATCTTAACCCATTGGCGCCGGGTGTCACGTACGTACATGCCATGGCTGTTGTGGACCAAACGCCGGGGGCATCATGCCATGCCCATTCCCGTGCTACTGGCTCGTTGGACGGAGGTTGTTTTTCTCCACTAGTAGCGGCTTCATTTATATGGTAAAGATGGCACCTAAAGTGAAGGTAAACCTTCAAAATTTTAATATTTTTATAAATTTTTGAAAAATCAAAGCTTTTAGGTGCTATATGTCGCTCGCAAACTACCGATTGAGCCGGGCGCAAACAGGGGAAACTGCCAGTGCGTGCCAACAAGCCGGTGCATACGTAAACCTTACAAAATTTTTACCCGTCGCTGATGGGTTAAAGACATATTAAAAAAGATGACACTCTGGACTTGAAATGTATTCTTGCCATCCTGTCAACAGTGGGTTAAGTTTCTATGGAGTGAAATTTACTTTAAGGCATATTCTTGACTTTTGCATATATATTGAGCTTCCCAGCACACTCACATATATCCGCAGGCTCCCTAGAGGTAAGAATGCAAGCCTTCTGTAACTGAATAAGGTCCTTGTAACTTCCTCTGTGATGTAAACAGTAAAGGAATCAAAAGAAATAAAGAAAAAAAATAGTGGATCATAATCAAGTAACACATCAATCTCTCCTATAATGTCCCATACAGCAACATTGCTTTTTACAGTCTTGCATACTCGAGCATGTGGTAGGCTGGTACACATAGCAAGTCAGTGGACACAAACCACTGTGTGGAAAAGGCCTGAGAGTTTTCATACTTTCCATGGTTCTGTATGTGGAAATCATTTGTTAAAATATATTTGCTACAATATGCCTTATACATATTGTATACTCTAAAGATATTGCAATTATATGTTCTTTGAAAGAAAGGTCTCTCCTGTATCAGTTGAAAGTACTAAGACATTTCAAATGAAAGATCATATTTTTCTAAAGCATATTTTTCTAAACCTTGAAAATGAGATTGACATAATTAGTCCACAACATAATCTCTCTCCTTAGTAAAGAAAACCTTTTTTTCCGTATATATATATACATATTTACTTATGAACTATAAGTAAATATCAACACCTCATTTTTTTACTTTTGATGTTTTAGATATGACAAGATCAGCTGCAGTACTTGTAACAAGCTGCAAAAAAATCATTCTAACCATGGCTTTGGTACCAACTTAAAAAGTAAAGATATGAAAGAAAGAAAAATAACTATTCTTTTACTGTACACACAAAAATGTTTTTGAGTCCTGATCAACAGGTAATAATAATAAATATGATAATTTCTGTAAGCTGCCCATCAACAAATAATCTATATCAAAGATAGAAAGATAAAG